TTTTGCTTGGCGACACTTTTTAAATCCAATTCTGTGGAAAACATTAACAGTCATGGAATCTAAATGGTGGGCATATTTGAGGCTCAGCGAACAATCCTCAGACCTCTCCTCTGTTGAAAACGTTAGATTAAAAAAAAAGAAAGAGGAGCCGGGGAGATGGCTCAGTGGAATAAGCGCTTCTCTAGCAAGCGCAAGGGTCTGAGTTCAATCCCTGGTTCCGCCAGAAAAAAAGAAAAGAAAGAAAAAGAATCCCTGTTGCTTAATTAAAAGGCGTCAGATGCAAAGTAGGATTGTTAAAGGGGCAGATGAATGCTGTGGATAGGTACAAATGTCATCACAGGCTGGGGCCAGGCACTGTGTTGGAGGCCCTCTGGCCCGGGCCTCAAGATGTCTCGAGTCTGTCTGTCAAACGATAGGGTCAGCAGTCCAGTTAAAGCTGCTCTCCAGCCTGCAGCATGCCCAGAGGCAAGGGGTGGCACCAAGAGGCACTCGGTGCTCTGCAAAGGCTCCCTTACCTTATGGACTGATGCACGCAAAGGAGAGATGGGCAGCCTGGGATCCCAGCACTCTGGGAGGCTGAAGGAGGAGGATCTCAAGTTTGAGCCTAGCCTGGGCAACTTAGCAAAATCTTGACTCCAAAAAGGAGGCACAGGATAGTTCAGTGGCACATTGCCCACCTGTTTGGCAAGCACAACGTCCTGAGTTCAATTCCCAATACCCCCCTTAGGTGGGAATGTCACTCAGTGCAAAGGTCCTAGGTTCATCATTACCCACTAAGTGAAAAAGATGAACTTGTGTAGAATGGCGAGATAGATTCTCTTTTAGTTTTAGAAGAAAACTTTCTAAGGCTAGTAACTCAACTAACTCAGGGGCATTTCACCACAGAGCTATATTCTAGCCCTTTTTTTTTTAGAACCAGGGATTGAACTCAGGCCCTTGCGCTTGCCAGGGAAACACTTATTCTACTGAGCCATCTCCCTGGCCCTTCTAGCCCTTTCTGAGACAGGGTCTTGCTTCCTTAATAGACTACCCAGGCTGGCTTTGAACTTGTGATCCTCCTACCTCAGCTTCCCTGATAGCTGGGGCAACAGGCAAATGCTACTGTGCCCTGCTCCCTGGCAGGGAACCTACCATCTCCAGCATTCTGCTAGGCGCACAGCATGTGCTGTACGTATACACTGAGACCACAGCCCACAAGCCCACACCTGTTTACCAAGGTGCTAGACAAATGGGCTACTTGATAAACGAAATGAAAAAAGAAAACCAGGCATGCAATGGAATATACAGCACTATCCCAGATTTTTCTTAAATGTCACTTTTTTAATTTAATTTGTTCGTGGTACCAGGGATTGAACTCAGGACCTTGTGCTTGCCAGACAAGCGCTTATTCTGCTATCTCCCCAGCCCAGGATTATGTTTTCTTCACATAGTTTCTAAAGCGGTCATGCATTCATTTTATAACGAGGGGTGAGGGAGAGAAGCAAAAAAATTTTTTTTCTTTTCTGGGACAAGGCGTCACGCTGCAGTGCAGGCTGGTCTTGAACCGCCATCCATCCTCCTGCCTCAGCTCCTGAATGCTGGGATCACACGTTTGTGCTACCATGCCCAGCCAAGCAGCAGAAGTGTTACACTGAAAAGACTCCAAGCAGGGAGATTGTGAAAATGCGTTCAATCTATTCTTTCAGTACTAGGGATTGGACTCAAAAGGTAACAGGTTAACTCAGCCAGGGAAGGAATGGCTGTGACACTCACCAGTGTGTGGGGGGACCCAGAGGATGCAGGGCACACAGCATGGGCTCCATGGAAAGGAAACGCCCAGCACACAAGAATCCAGAAACAGGAAGTGGACCTGCAGGTGCTAGCCACTTCAGAGGGGGATGGGGGGATCAGCAGTGACCGCTCAAGGGGACAACAGTGTAACAAAATGTTCCATTACTAGATAGTGAGGACGGTTACCCAAGTCTGAGAATAGAGTAAAAAAACAATCAACTGTACAGTAAGTCCCTGACTTGGGAACACTGGAGTAGCAAATTTTCACAGATCCAAACTGACCTCACGTTTGCAACATCATAGGTGCAGACAAACCATGAAGTAGCTCCCGGTGTCAAGTGTGGCCAGCGAGTCTGCCGGATGCTCACTGTACTGCAGTCCAGCGCTTGCTGGAGCCCAGGACATGCGTGGCTCCTTTATGCTTCACTTTGTACATTTGTGTCAGAGGTATAGAAGACTCATTTTGTTGTACTTACGAGTAGACCCAACTTAAAAAGTTCTCCTGAAGTTGGAGACTTTAGATGCTGTTAGAAAAAATCTTTTTGTTACAAGGAATCAAACACTGTGCCACTGAAATATATCCCAAGAACTATGAAATCTCTTTTAATAAAGCTGTTGGAAAAGTCAACTAGCTGGGTGTACTGCACACACCTGTAATCCCAGCACTTGGGAGGCTGAGGCAGGATTGATGCAAGTCTGAGGCCAGGCTAGGCTACATGAGTTCAGGGGCAGCATGAATCATACAGTGAGATCCTGTCTCAAAAAAATGCCAACGGCCGGCCAAATAGCTCAGCAGATTAAAGCACCTGAAAGCAGGCACAGGGGCCAGGAGTTCAATCCCCAGGCCTGCCATGCCAGCCCTGCCCCCAGGGCCCGCTGAGATAGCAACTGAGACTGGACATGGTAGAGTGTGCCTGTAATCCCAGCTCTTAGGAGGCTGTAAACAGGTAGATCACTACAAGTCTGATCTTGTAGTAAGACCCTGAACACCCTGTAGACCTTTCCCAAAAATACAAAAAGGAAAAAAAAGCCAAACGGGGAAAATGATTCAGAAATCACCACCACCCTGGGCTTAACAGACTCACAAATTTCTGGAGTTCCCACATTTTTTAACAACATAAACCAGGCATTGAGGTGCACACCTGTAATCCAGGCACTAAGGAGGCTGAGGAAGGAGGCCTGGAGAAAGTTTGAGGCCAGGCTGGCTGCATACGGAATCCAAGGCCAGTCTGAACTATACAGCCAATCTGTTTCTAAAAACAAACAGAAAACCCTCCCAAAGACAGGCAGCCAGCATGCCACTGGCCGTCTCCACAGACCCTGTAGGTCCCTTGGAAGGCCGTGCCCAGGGGACACTCAAGGCCCCATTCTGCAGACCCAGGCATCTTTCCTCTAACACGTCTACACTTGACGTTTTGAGATATAATTCATCCGCTACACAATCCACACTGACCACTTGCCCCAGCAACCCTCTAAGCTCTGCCTGGTCCCTAACCACTCATCTGTCCTGCCCCTAACAGACCTCTGCAGCAGCCACTTGACAAAACAAGAGGACCACAGTGCTGTTCTGTGACTTCTCACATATATTTGGTTCCTAAGGACACACAACATTTTAAGGAACAAAAGATGGCACATTTTTATTAAAATGTGCTACTTTATCAAATTGCATCTGTTCTATAGCAAGTTTATCAATAAAACCTGCCAACCTGGTGGGCTGGTGCACACCAGTCACCCAGCACTCTGGGGAGCTGAGGCAGGAGGACCCAACGTTCCAGTCCCACTTGGGCAATTTAGCAAGACTCTGCTACAAAATTAGAAAGTTAGAAGGGCTCAGCACTCCCTGACTTCAATTTCCAGTACTGCAAAAAGCATTAGTTACATAAAGTGGGGCTGATTTTCTCTACCGACTTTTCTCTTTCAGGGTTTTTGAGAAAATGAAATCATAGGTGAGAAACGACGTGGGGCCCAGAACTGTTTGCAAACACAAAGACAACGAGATGCTTCTGTGAAAAACGTTTATTCTGAAAATCTAAAATCTGCACAAAGAATATTGATGTTCAGAAAAAGCCTACACAGAATTTCCTTATTTCTTCCCTAATACATTAAAAATCTAATAAGAAAAAAAAACTTTTAAAAAATAGTATTGCTTCGTTCTGTCTGCAGTTATGTGACTTAAACATCCCTGGGTCTGCTGAGGTATAAGCTGCAAACTTTGGTAGAGTTAGAAAAATGAACAAATCCTTTGAAAAAAAAACATCAAAAACCCCCCAAACAATACAATCAAATCCTAAGTTACATCTTTCTTAGTACATATACTACAAAAAGAAATTTCATTTGAAAAAAGCATTCGTTGCAAAAAAAAAAAAGCAAACAAACAAAAAATCCCCTTTTGTAAGTTTCAATTGCTGAGTTTAGGGAGAAAAACGAAATATTTAAATGTTGGGGAAAACACAAACCACCCCCAAAACACCCAACTCAGCATCAGGAAGAAACGGACATGCAGTCTTTAAAAAAATCTGCCTGGCATTTTTCCACAATTCAGTGCTAAAAAGGAAGAGCCCAGTCTCGAGAAGGACGAGCGAAGGCACTTGGACAGGGCTCCACGCCTGCTTCCCGCCGTCCCCTTGGGCCACGCAGGCCCCACGCCGGAGGTGAGGTAGGTACATGCTGCCCAGCTGGTGCGCTCCCCGAGGACTGAGGACTGGCAGGCAGGTCTGAGGCCCCCATGGGAGGGCTCCCGCAGAGGAGCCCTGTCCTCTTAAGAGCCTCTTGGCAGACAGCGGGGGACCCCCACCAGGAACCATACTGCTGCCATCAGCAAGACGATCGGCTTTGACACTGGGGTGGAGAGGACCCCCAGACCCCAAGCTTCACAGATGGCTCTGGGCAGCGAGATGGGTACCTTCTTAGCAGTCGGTGGCGGGAGCTTCTGAGAACTCCTTGGCACCAGCAACGGACGCAGCCTCGGGCCACCTGGCTGATTCCATCTTATGCAGATAATTGCAGCTTTATATTTTTGATACAACTTAAACCAAATGCTCTCAAGTCCAACTTTTAGCTAGAACTTGGAAACTCCTGAAAATGCATACATTAAACAACAAAAACAAAATTAGGGAAGACAAGGCTTTCAGGGAGCAGAAGGGCAACTACACATTTAAGTTAAGCCCGCTAGGGAGCAGGCTGAGGCCAGGCACCGGGACAGGGTCCAGCGCCGCCGAAGTGCTGGGGGATCACCGGCCGCTGCCGTAGCCGGGGAAGAAATGGTTGAGGATGTTCTGCAGCGCAGTGTTCACCTGCATGGCGTAGCCGCGGCCCAGGTCGTAGCGGCAGGCCGGGCAACTGAAGACCTGGGCACGGAATGACCTGTCCAGGCAGTCCTGCAGACAAGCGACCAGTGAGGCCCCAGCCCTATCTCCTTGCCGCTCCCTTCCACCCCCCACCACACCCCGCCTAGCACTCGATGTCCGCTGCCAGCTTGGCCTCCACAGGGTCCTTGAGAGATGCCAGGCTCATCAGCTCCTCCCACTGCAGCTTGGGCTGGCTGCCAAGTGCTTGTCACCACCTTCGAGGTCCTACTGGCCTAGCCCCATCACCCTGCTGCTTCTCCCTGCATGTGACAGCCACACCTGCCCAGGGACGGGCTCAGTGTCCCCTACACCAGTGCCTACACTAATCAGGTGTCCAATGAACACTACTTGTGGAGGCAGCAGCAGAAACCAAGAGAAGGAAACAGGCCCAGTGTCCACGCTCCTTCCAGGTCCTGGCCGTGCCTATGGTGCTGCCCTGCTCTGCCTCCTCTTCCAGGAAGCCTTCCTCCCTGCCGTGACCCCGAGCATCCAAACGCAGCAGCCCGGCAAGGCCCACCTGGCAGGGCCCTCAGCAGAGGCCTGGCCCCACACACCTTGCATACGTTGTGCTGGCACACAGTGGTGACGGGCTGGAACACCAGTTCCTGGCAGCAGATGCACTGGAACGTCTCCTCCACCTTGCTCAGGAACACCTGGAACTGCACACGAGCATGCTCGCCAGCTGTAGCCACACGACCCCACCCCAGGCAGGAGCAGCTGGGCGCCCATCACACACCATGGAGCTGTGCCCAGGGCCCCAGTGGGCCTACCAGGGGGATCAGAAAGGCCCCTCACACATGGGCTTGGAAGGTGTCAAGACGGGCAAGAAAGGCCAGCATGGTGGCACACGCCTGTCACTCCACAGTCGGGAGACTCAGGCAGGACTGCCACAAGTTGGGCCCAGCAGGGAATGCACGGTGAGTTCAAAGCAGCCTGCACTGAGCAGTGAGACCCAGTCTCAAGTTAACAAAATAAGGAAAGTCCCCATGGAGCTGAAGACAGCAAAAAGCAGGAAGAGCTGCCCCAGATGCAGGGTGAGCAGCGCACACTCCAGAGCCCAGTCCTTCAATTATGTCCCCTCGCCTGGCAAGACTTTGCAGATAAGAACACACCAACACAGGCTGGGTGTGGCAGCTGTAATCCCAGCACTCGGGAGACTGAGGCAGGAAGAGTATTTTGAGTCCAAGACCCAGACTCACAATGGCCTAAAAGGGGACTATCAGAGAAGCCATGGGGCCATGAAGACTGGCCATGCCCAAGGCTGCAGTTACCTATGAAAGCTCCTTTCAGGGTTCAGGCCTCCAGAACAGTGAGAGCTTAAGTCTGGGTTGTTCTGAGCCACTAGGCTCAGGGGCTTATATTTAATAACAGCCCCAGGATACTCACGTGGGCCGGGGGGCTGAGCCAGGACTGAGGAGGGCACAGAGGCTGGATGACTGCAGCCCCTCACTAGCAGTGGCCAACCACTGTCGTACCCTACGAAGTGCAGGAAGACCAAGAGACAGGCCTGGCTTGGGGGTACCTCAAAAAGCTAAACACAAGGCTCCTGGTCCTGATTCAGCAATTCCCCACCTAGGACACACCCTGAAGTCAAAGCAGGGTACAGGAAAGACATTTACATCCTGGAGTTACAGCTTAAAAATGGAAGAAGAGGAGGGACGCAGCACGGTACAGCTGCACACTGGAAAGTTACTCAGCCACGTAGAGGGAAGGCCTGACACTGCGACAGCAGGGATGAACCTGGAGGCCCTGCTGTTCACAGTGAGCCACAGACAGGTCACACACTGCAGTCCCATTCCCAGGTGGTCCTAGCGTGACCAGAACCACAGGGATAGGATAAAAGGTGGCAGTGGCGGGTTGGGGAGGGGACAGTGGACAGCGGGGGATGCACTTGAAGCCGCTGAGTTGTGTGCTTGAACATGGTCTGGCCAGCAGCTGCTCCGTAATGCACATGCCACCAGTAGGAGCCCACACCTGGGTGCCACTCACCAGGCCTTCCCCGAGTGCCATGAGAACCTCTGTCCACAGCTTTGCATTGCTCTCGTCCGCCTTGATGAGCTTGTTCTGCTCGGCCGTGAGGTTGTAGGGCTCCAGCTTGGTTTTCTTGGTAGTCCGCACCCCAGAGCCACTCTGGCCTGGAGAGGACAGCGGGTCAGAGGGCACCTCTGCAGGACACAGGGCACACGGAAGGCAGGTGAAACACTCACCTGCTGTCTTCCGCTTCCATTTGCCCTTCTTGGAAGGTGACAGGTCCTCCTGCTCCTCAGACGCCCTCTTGTTCTCCTTGTCCCTGTTGGCCAAGGCTTCCAAGTAGCCCTCTGGATACTGCACAACACAACACACACAGTGAGACAGCTACATCCTAGCGCCAGTCCTCACTGCCACTGTTGCCCAAAGGTGCCTGGGCCCCAATCCCTTTCCTACAGAGCAACTGAAAGAGGCTAGGGTGTGGCTCTATGGTGAGCACCTACCTAGTGCTGAAAGAAAACACACACACACAAGGTCAGCCCAAGAGGCACAAGACAAGCCTTCAATCTCCACAAAAAAGTTGCAGTCACAGTGACATCCAAGGTCACGAATAAAAACTGACCCACCAAAGGTGACATCGAGGCGCCCACTCCCCCAGTGCCCAAATTCCCTGGTACCATAAATGCATTCAGATAAGCCTTGTGGCCCCCGGGGTAGGTACTATCTGATTCTCAACAGGAATTAAGATTCACCGAAATAGTGCCCAGCATTCACGTTATACAGCGAGCACAGGGAAGAGCCGCAAGCAGCATGACCACAGCATGCCAGAGGCACACCAGAGCTGTGCCAGAGCCACGCTGGGCACACAGCTCTCAGAAGACACCCAGCAATTCCTCGCGGAACAGCTCTGGCTCGGCCACCAGCAGGCCTTGCTAGCTCATCCTTGCTTTTTTGGAGTAGGTAGAGATGATATAGAGGAAGACCAGGTTCCCAGGGATAGGAGCCAAAGCCCTCCACAAACAGGCTCGCCAAGTATGTCTAGCTCTTTCTCTGCACAAAGGACGTGCAAGCCAGAAGTGCCACCTGAGTTCCAGGCCATATCTATACCACACAGCCACAAAAGGAGGCTCAAACCGAGGGGAGCCCAGGGGTCGTTTGGAAAAAAAGGACCGGGTCCTCTAGCTAAGGAGCCCCGGTCCTGGGCGACTCCTCACTTAATGATGCAAGACTCCTGCTCCACCCAGAATGGGCGCCCAAAGACAACAAAAATTGGACAGCAGGGCCACGTGGGGCCACTGGCAGGTGTCGGGCCAGGGCGCACCTGCATAGTCAGCCCCAGCTTCTTGATGCGGTCCTTCCCTTCCTTTGTCCAGGGCCCAGGCTCATCATCGTCCCTCCGCAGGAGGTAGCGCCACACGAGGAAGCCAGACTTGCCCTTCTCAGGCCAGTACTTCACAACCTGCAGGGACAGGTAGGTCGGAGTGCGGATGCTACAAGGGGTGTGGCCTGTGAGGGTACCCACGGCAGAGCAGGGCCTGGGAGGCTGAGCAAAGGAGGGCCAGATGAGGGGCGTGGCCTGGGAGGCATGAAGGGGAGGGTCTGGGAGGCGTTCCTAAAGGTTGTGGTAAAGGATGCGGCCACTATTGAGGACCAGACAGGGAAGGTCAGAGGCAGGGCAAGCACCTTGATCCCTGAGCTGTTCAAGGGGCATGGTCAGATGTGTTAATGAGGGGTGTGGTTTAGGACCAAGGTCTGGGTCCCGCCCAGGGGCGTGGCCAGGTAAGTGGCACAGCCAATGGCACTGCTCACCTTATAGATGCCATCATAGCGGTTGCCCTCGGCGGGCGCGTACTTGCTGTGCTTGCCACCTTTCATGTTCCTCACCACCCGCACTGGCTTCCCCGAGCGCCAGTCCGTGGCCACGGCACCCTCAATGTCGTTAATGGGCGCAAAGCAGTTGAGAGCCAGTGCCCTGTGGGAGAATCGAGACCCGACTTGCTGAGCTGGGAACCAGTACGCTCCCTCCGTATGAGCGCGCTCTGGAGGATGGTGGTGGCAGCTCACGTTTCTACCAAGAGTGGAACGTTCATTGCTGCCCTGCCATCAACATCTTGGAGCTTCTGGCCAATTTCACTGGGGAAATAAATAGGCTCTGAACATTGCCTCGATCCCATCTCTCTGATGCCCTGGGGAGCACTCATGGACAACGCCTGTGCGCGCCTCCTTTACTTTCTCCCCAGTTGTGTCTGCAGCGGCTCTTTACAGAGCAGACAGCTGCCCTGCGTGACACAATCTCCCTGCAGCAGTCACTTGCTTTGTCTCACAGACGCCTCTTGCCTCTTACCCTACCAGACTGTCTAGTCTCCCAGCCTTTTCCTTTGGGTTTTATGATGTTTTTAATGCTAGCAAAGCCCGCCCCCATCTGGCAGTGGGGGGAGCAAACTCTGGCCCATGGCCAGGGTTTGTTTTGGGTTTTTTTTTTTCTCATTGTTATTTATTGTAGTACCAGGGATTGAACTCAGGACCTTGCACTTGCCAGGCAGGTACTTGTGCTGCTGAGCTATCTCCCCCAGCCCATGTGACTGGGTTTTTGCAAAGAAAGTATTACTGAACAGCCTATCATTTGCTCCCAGACACCACGTGACAGCTGCAGCACCATGATGGCAAAGCCACAGATCCACCACAAAGACCAAAGGGACAAAAGCTAGAGACACGCAGCTGCCCTCATGGAGGGTGTGGATGACACACAGCTTTAGCAAACAAGGAGACGGAATGATATCTGGCTCGTTTGTGCCCCTGCCACACACTGCGTGGGCACCACACCTTCTAGATCCAACCCTAGACCAGAACCAAGACACTGAGGGCCTCTCTGGGAAAAACCAAGACAACACGAACCTGTTGGTATTGGTGAGTTTCTGGTCACTTGACTGCTCAGCAGTCCGCTTGTTGCCAGAAAGATCCCGGCCGCCACTCCCTGTGTAGGTGAAAGAATTCCCATTGTCCTGCAACAGAGAAGAGGGGCTGCATCAGCCGCCTACCTGGGGAGAGGGGAGCCAGGTCAACAGCCCACGCACCCACCAACACGTGGGTAACAAAGAACACAGGTGTGGATGACAATGTGAGATGGGGCCCAGGGGAGCTGCAGTGGGAAGGGAACGGCTGCTGAGAAAACGGGAAGGCACTGCCTCAAGAAACTACATCAGATGACCACACAACACCCTGGGAGGCAGGAGGTAGGAGGGTGGAGAGCTCCAGTCCAGCAACTTAATGTCTTGACAAAGCCCAGACTCAAAATTTAAAAAGACATGAGGGGCTGGTGAGATGGCTCAGTGGTCTAAAGTACCTACTTAGAACAAGCTTAGCAAAGCACAGGGACCGCGGTTCAATCCCCCAGCACCACATGCCAGCCAGCTGCGCCCCCTGGTGGGCTGAGCTGGCCACACACACACACACACACACACACACACACAAATAAAATTTTTTAAAAAAAACTGGTGTCATAACCATGTGCATACCCAATTAATCCCTGGAAATAAAAACTTTAAAAAATAAATAAATAAATAGAAAGACATGAAACTTTTTAAAAGGACTAGTTAAGCAGGCCCAGTGCAAAGGCCCTGGGTTCATTCCATTACTGAAAGAAAAGTACAGATCATGTGACCCAGCAATTGCACTGCTGCAAGCTACAGCCAGAGGACCCGAAAGCGCGTCTTGGGGCCATGCCTGTGCACAGCAGCAGTGTCTACAACAGCCATAAGGCTGGAATACCCAAGTATCTAGCAACAGATGAATGGATACACACTGGGATCCATCCACAGGCAGCTGTGAAAGGGAAGAAGTCCTGACACCCGCTCCACCATGGATGGAGCTTGAGGCCGTGCTGTTCACGGAACTGAGCCAGACACAGTACACACACTGCAGGGTCCCACTCCCAGGAGGCCCAGTGTCATCAGCTCCACAGAGGCAGAAGCAGGATGGTGGTCCCTGCTGGGGACATGAAAGGCCCTGCAAGTGGATGTGGTGATGGCCACACATGGGAATGAGCTTAGTACTGTGCGCCATACAGAAGCTTCTCTTCAGAGAGGGGACTATACTGCAGGACCCTCCAGTGAATGTCAAAAGCCTTGAATTGTATTTAACTTGTATTTTGTGGACAGTGTGCCTCAGGTACCTTGTACTATATAGCCGAGGCTGGCCTGGAACTCAGGTAGATCCTCCTGCCTCAGCCTACTAAATGCTGGGATTACAGGCATGCACCACCATCACTGGTTCCAAACTCCTATTTAATGATTTTTCTATCTTAAGTATCCCAGTCAGCACAACTTTCTTTTTGCTCCCTTACAACTCCAGGCAGATCTGCTCTTAGCAACTTCAGTGTACAGTGACTACAAAGTCATCGACTTTATCTTTTCACTTATGAAGAGCACTTTGTGCTTTCAGCCAGCATATACATTGCCACCATCACTCTTCCGCTGTTTATGGGCCCTCTCATAAATACAGAACACAGTGCTACGACACCAGAGGCTACTCGCTCTTATAACCAGAACGGCTGCCGGGTGAGCAAAGGGAGGGTAGCACATACTGTGTGGAAATGCTGAACCATGGCAGAGAGTGAGCAGCACCAGAGTGCGTCATGCCACTCAGAAGGCATGCTGTTCAGTGCATCATGCCAACAGAACCTTAAACGCATGAACTGGTTAGATCTGGAATTTTCCACTTACTATGTCTGACCCATTCCTGACTGTCAATGTGGGGAAGCAAAACCTTGGAAAGGAGCAGGCAATTCACACACTTAAAGATGGACATATAATAAGCCAGGTGTGGCAGCACACACCTATAATGCCAACACTCAGGAGTGAGACAGGATGGACCAGAATACCAAGCCCGCCTGGGCTACATAGTAAGACCTTGCCTCAAAAACAAGATTCAACAGGGGGGGAAAAAAAAGTGAAACCACCCCCAACTCACGCACTTCATCGTCTTCATAGCCCCCGGCCAGGACCAGGGAGTAGGCCCCGTCGTTGCTCCGGCCATGGATACCTGCAACGTGAGGCCGATGGACGCCGGACTCACTGACCTACAGACACCAGAGACAGACAGCACCATCAACAGTAAGCACAGAAGAGCAGGACCTCGTCCCCCACTTCAGGAGGCCTGATGCTACCACCCAACCTCAGGTGGCCACACTGAGGGGGCTGAGCTTAGAACCAAGCCACTTTCCACACCACGGGTGGCCCTCAGCTCACCCAGAACAAGCCAGCTCTGCAGCAGGACAGACTAGGAGTGCCTGGGGTCCAGTCATTCACAAGTAGGTGTGAGCCCGGCTACCTACCAAACCTTCCCCTGGGGACCCTGCCCTTCTGTAGTTCTCACAACTGGGGTGCTGCTGGCACAGAGGAGATGGAGGCCAGGGATTCTACTCGGGGCCAAGGACGCCCCCACAGACCCTCCCAGCCCCATGTCAGCAGTATCTGTGTCTCTTCCACCTCGGCACACAGTCCAGAGGTTGCCAGAGGACTGGGGACAGCGCTCAGTAGCACTGCACTGGCCTAGTAAGCAAAAATCTCTGGGTTGTGGCTGGGGAGATGGCTCAGTAGAATAAGCACTTGCCTGGCAAGTGCAAGGGCCTGAGTTCAATCCCTGGTTCTAGAAAAAAAAAAAAAAAAAAAAAAGCTCTGGGTTCCGTATGCAGCAGCTCAAGAAACAGTAAGACTAAGGCTGGCCAGATGCAGTGATGCGTGCCGGTTGTCCCGGTGCTCTGAGAAGCTGAGGTGGGAGAATGGCCAAGTTCAAGCCCAGCCTGCTCAACTTAGCAAGAGCCTGTGACGTAGCTTAGTGTGCAGGCCCTGGGTTTAATCCTCAATAGGAAAAAGAAAAGAGCCAAACACCACCCCATGCTGCAGGTGGCACTGAGCACTGGAGGAGCCACTGGAGGCAAAGGACATCATGAGACGGTGACTGGTTCTGTCCAGAGATGTGAGCTTTGCCCTGGCACAGCAACCTTGGAGTATGGCGTGGTCAAGCAATGCTGTGCAGTTCAGGCTGGGCTTGAGCTTACTCTGTAAGCCTAGGCTAGCCTGGAACTCAGTGATCCTGCCTCAGCCTCCTGAGTGCTAGGATGACAGGCATGCACCATCATGCCCAGCCAGCAATCAGGAACTTAATGCCAACGTGGAACTGCCTATGTCCCCTGGCTCCCAGGCATCCACCCTCCTTCCCTGAAAGCTGAGATGCCCGCAGGACACCACCATGCCCAAAGCCCCAGAGCAGATGTCACCAATACCTGCACACGGAACCGCCACATAGTGCCCACAGGGATGCCCGGGATGGGCCCGTAGTGGTTAGACGGGACAATGGTACACTCTTTTGTGCGCCCCACGCACGCCATGCCCTACACACAGGGATACAGAAGGAACAGCCATGAGCACATGGAGGGGAGGAGAGTGGCAGCGTGGGTGTCACAAGGGGACCCGCCTCACCTTGCCCCAGTCCCGCTGCGAGGACGATGTGGCTGATGCCATCTTTGCCTTCTTCTTGCTCTCTCGTAGTCTCTCCCCAGCCAGCACCACCTCGCTGGCGTCATTCCGGCAATCAGGGCAGTACCTGCGACGACAGGGGGTGTCACCCACAGCAACCGGTTGTCAGCAGCCCTGAGCATCCTCACTGCTTCCACCCAGATGCAGGTCCCCAGGCAGCCAGGGCCAAGCCAAGGGACTTGAATAAGCACACGCAGAACTCCAGGTCCCTGCCACAGCGTCAGCGAGCATGGACAGAGGCTCCCTTTGTCCTCCTGCGAAGCCTCACAGCCCCTCCCCACAGGACAGCACAGCCACTGCCAACTCAGGAATGGCGTGGGGACACGGGGCATGGACTGTGGCCTGGGGACACGCCACCCACACCAGGGCAAGCGCAGTCCTCTCACCACTCCTCCTCAGGAGGCACACTGCTGAGTGGGGGGTCCAGGCAGTACAGGTGGTACGCCATGTCACACTCGTCACACATCAGCTGCTTGTCGGGAGCCTCCCGGCCCCCACAGCGGTGGCAGGCACAGATGCGGCACAGCTTATTGGGGTCATCCTTGCAGTACTTGCAGGATGGGCCACTCTTGCCTGTTGGGGAGGGCAGTATCAGTGGCCACGAGAACGGGACAGAACAGAGGGCCCCGCGCACACCCAGACACGCAGGACTCACGTCTCATGGGGTTCTCAACCACGGGAGGGCCTTCGCCTGGACGCTCGATCTTGAAGACTTCATCCACAAAGACGATGCGACAGTCGTTGAGGGAATTGTCCCTGCAGAAGGACACCCCACAACATCAGTGGGCCACTGTCTGAGCCCAGCCTGGAGTCCCAGGAGGAATCTGTTGTCCAGTCAGTACTAGGGACATAGCCCGAACCTGAGCGACAGCTCCACCATCTTTTATCGTGGAGACAGGCTCTCACTGAGCCTCCCATGCAGCAACAAACTTGAGATCCTCCTGCCTCAGCCTTTCCACTACCAGGATGTAGGCCTTCACCACCACACCTGGCTCAGGGCTTTGCCCTCATCCTATTCTAGCCTTGTTCAAATACCATGGGCTCCAATGGATCAGACAGGAGATTTGCAGGCTCTGAGCTAGTCTCTTGCCAAGTCAAGTCCTGCCAAACCAGACATAAGTCAAAAAGAAATCACAATTTCAATACAGGATGTGTTCGGGAAAAATTCAAACCTTTGGGCACACAAGGCCAATGAGAAAGTCAACAACAAGTAACACCAAAAGAAGCTGACCAAAATTTGTCCTTTTAAAAAAAAAAAAAAAAGTTCCCATGAGCCAGGTGTGGTAGTATATAGCTGTCATCCTAGCTCAGGCAAAAGGAGACTGAGGCAAGAGGATCACCATGAGTTCTAGGTCTCAAAAAAAAAAAGGCTCCTACAATCTAAAAGGAGTCTCTAGCAACCTCATCAGCAACATCCAAGAGCAACAGTTTAATTGGTGGGTTGTTTTTTTTTTTTGGTGGAACCAGGGATTGAACTCAGACCCTTGCACTTGCCAGGGAAGTGCTTATTCTACTGGGCCATCTCTCTGGCCCCTAAAGAGCAACAGTTTAAATTGCAAATACACTGAATTTTCTCATGTTTGTGTTCAAAAGGAAACACGTGTTCTGGAATGCTCTGGATGGCCTGAAGTACCTAAGATATTATTTCAACATGGAATGACATAAACAGGTGGGGGTGGGGAGGCAGCGAGATAGCTCAGCGGACTGAAGTGCCTGCTTAGGCAAGCGCAGGGACTGTGGTTTGATCCCTGGCACCACATGCCACGCCTGCCATGCCCTCGTGACAGGCTGAGCCTGCCACAGAGTCCAACATAGTAAGTGGCACATGCCTGTAATCCCAGGGTTGGGGTGGCTGAAAACAGGAGGATCACTACAAGTCTGAGCTGTGTAGTGAGACCCTGTAACGACCAAACACATAAAATAAAAAACACAAAACAGCCACTGGGGCTGGTACGCAGCTCTGGGATGCAGCATACACGGCCCATGCACCAAGTCATGGGCACCACATCCTTGGTACCACAAAAAAAAAAAAAAAACATGTCTTGACATGGAGGTGGTGGTGTAAAACTAGAATCTCAGTACTTGGGAGGCTTGAAGCAGGAGAACAGCTGGTTCAAGACCAGCTTGAACTACAGAGTGAGACCCTATCTCAAAAAAAAAAAAGCCACAGAAAAACAGGTACATCACATAATAGTAAAAAGATCAAGTCAGCCAAGTGTCGCATGCTCCTAATTCCAGCATTCTGGGAAGCTGAGGCAGAACTGCAAGCTGGAGCTCAGCCTCAGGCAATTTAGCAAGACCCTATATCAGAATTTTAAAAATTACGAAGGGTTACAGACAGACGCAGCTGTGTGTGTGTGTGTGTGTGTGTGTGTATGTCTGTGTGTCCGTGTCCCAAGAGGCACACATGGGCGCAGAGCACCGATTCACTAAGCAGATGCACAGGCCATCAACACACAAGCACCAGACAAGAACCATTGTCCAGTGACAGAAATGCAAGACAAATTCCAGCAAGAGCAGGTCGGGGGTGCAGCCAGCCACCTGGCCCCGATTATGCATGGAGCACCCCCCCACAACAGGGAAACATTTTTTTCTCCTCTTTTCCTTCAAGTAGTCATGGAACCATCACCGAGAGGCCTGAACTCACACTTTAGAGAAAATCGGAGATTGTGCTCTTGGCCATGGTGAAGCCAAACAACGGGCCACCAAGAGAAACCCAATAGGAAAATGGCTAAACACTTGGAAATTAAACGGGGCTGGTGAGATGCCTCAGTGGTCTAAAGCACCTACTTAGAACAAGCTTAGCAAAGCACAGGGACCGCGGTTCAATCCCCCAGCACCACGTGCCAGCCAGCCCCACCCC